TGTTTTAAGCCAACAAGCATTAGAGCTTTTTGTTAGGCAGGAAAAGCTAACTGATACGGAAGATCATAAAATACATCCCACAAACCGCTCCAAAGTAAGGTGCCAGGTGTTTCTGGAAGTAGCTCACTTATAAGGAAATTGCTAATTTCTGGCTTTGGATTGACAAGGAGGTGCGAGCTGAGCAGGAATGAGAGGTGGAGGAACAACTGAGAGGGAGAGTGGTCCTGAAGCTGTTGCCATGGTGCCCGGGCAGGCAGGGATGGCGAGTAGCCGTCCTAGGCCCACAGTCCACCAGAAACAGCTGCTGCCGCCTTTGGCATGAATGCTTTGGGCCATCAGCTTCTGAGTTTTAGAAACTAAAAACAGGACATATCACCATGTACTTTTGCAGAGGTCAGGAACCTAGGCCCAAGGGCCAAACATGGTCCACTGCTTGTTTTTATAAATAAAGTTTTATTGGAACAGAGCCATGCGTATTCATTTACATATTGTCTATGGCTCCTTTCATGCAGCAATGGCAGAGTTGAGTAGCTGTAACAGAAACCATATGGCCTTTGAAGCCTAAACTACTTACTGTCTGGCTCTTTACAGAATCAATTTGTAACAACTCCTGTACTAGGTAATCAGGGGAGGTTCCACGCAATGGCTGGGTCTTAACCTGAGTCTTGAAGGAAAGAGGCAGTGGTGATTTGGGCACAAAGGAATAGGGAATTGCTGAAAGAACATTACAAGAAGGAATACTGAGATTATAACCAATGTTACATGACTGTGTGCAAAAGTAATTATAATAATTTCATGACAGTACAAACAATAACTAAGCAGATATACCACTTACTATGTGCCACGTATATGCTCTATAGTCACGCATTCTATCCTCACAACAATATTAGATGGTAGGTGGTATTATTATCTCCATTTTTCCAATTGAGAAAAGAGAGCAACACAGAAAATGAAAGATGCTTGCCCAAGGTCACAAAACTAGCAAGTAGCCTAGCTAGGATTCAAATCCTGGTGGTCTCACTCTAGATTCCATACTCTTTGAAAGCTACAAAAATGGAAATGTAAATAGGATAAGGCCAAAACTGTGCATAAATTCTAGCTATGAGCAATGAGATTGTCTCTTAAAGACACCTGAAAATCAGCTTTATTACTTTATATCATGAAACCTTCTTGGCTAACTATACCACATGTTCATTTTATGTACCCTTTGTCCCCTATAAAAATTTGCCATTTGTCCTGTTTAGCTGGAAATCCCCTAACAGGACATCACTATGGTACAGCTAGTGGTTATGATGCCATGGTGATGCTGTGTCAACACAGCAGCCACTGGCCATTCCCAGAGGTAGCCCACAACCCATTCATTAAATTCTGAGGCTAATACTGCCGCTTGGTCCCTAGGGAGACAGAACGTGCTCTTCCCCAAACAATAGTCAATACGGTCATTCTGGTCATGACAGGCGGAAGCTACTGTGGATACTCCTTTTTAAAGATGTAAATTGGGTTCTGTTTGGGAATCCTACTTTACAGCAGGGGATCCCAGCCCAGAGAAGTGATCTTTGATCTCCAGCCAAAGGATGGGCCAGCCCTTATAGGTCAACTGGGGGCCCACGGTGTATGTGCTGTAGCCCAAAATGGTATCATGCCCGGGGCCCATTATAAACAACCAAACTAAAGAGAGGCAGAATTCCCGAAGAGAAGTTGTTTCTTGATTTGTTACCTCATAATCACAGGGAGAGAGTTCTAACAGATAGTCTTCAATAATACTAACTCTTTATAGACTAACGGAGCTCACATTGATATACCTCTTTTAGAGAGCATCCTGGCAATTCGTTGAAGCCTTAAAAATGTACAGAGCGATTGACTTAGAAATTCCACTTCTACTAACTTATCCTAAGTAAATTGTCAGAGATAAACATGAAGGCTATTTATTAAAGCATTATTTTTAGTAGAGAAACACTGAGAACACCTCAATTGTACAACAGGGGATTCATGAAATATATTACGATATAACCATAAACCACATTAATGGCATAGCCATAAAAACTATGCAGTTGTTTAAATTTTGGTCATGAAACATTATTAAATTTTAAAAGAAAGTTAAAACCAGTATACAACATAAAATTCTATCCTTGTAAAAAAAAACACCAAAAATAACAAGATGCACATACTAACAGAAAAACAGGTTTAACAGGGGTTTTTCTCCCAGGCTAGAACTATGGTTATTTTAATGTTCTATTTTTTTTATACAATAAATTCTGCATTGTGTTGGTAATTTTTAAAATGATAACAAAAGTTATATTTAATTTTTTTTAAGTTATATATTTTTTCCTTTGGCTGTCACATTGTACTTTTGCTTTCTCATGTTTTTCAGTTCTATGAATTTTGTCATGTTTTCCCAGCAAGCCAAAATGCAGACCAGTCTTTCTCAACAACCAGGGGGAAAGGCAGTCCACATTTTCAGAGACCCACCCATAGTTCAAAAACCCTTTAGTCGGACAACTGGTTGGCAAGCTCATCTGACTGTTTTGGGCTTATAGTTCTTTATTAAAAAGGTACACCCCAACAGGACTCTGAACAGCTTTACCAAGTTCATCAAACTTGCTTGTGCTGCTACGGGTTTTGTTTTTGTTGGGGTTTTTCCTAAAAAGAGACAGAATCCCAAATTAAAACAAGAGGTCAGGGAATTAGCTGACTAAGCGGTGATTAAAACAGTCTGTACTTTACAGAGTGTGAAACTGCTTAATATGTAGGTAGGGCTTGGGATCTGGCACGAGAAGACACGCTGGATAATTTCTTTTCCCAGGACATAAAAGGAGCAGGTAAACTGAGTTGTAACGTCCCTCATTAAGGCTTCTGGTCATGAGATGACAAAGTTTTTTGAAATAAAGGAGTGTCTTTTCATTTAACTTCCAAATGAGCACTAGACAATGATTTATTTATAGACTGCACAACAAATGGACGGAGTGAACTGGGATTCTGCTGAAACCTTCCCAGATCTCAGGATAAATTTAAGTAGGTTCAGCGAGGGGTTACCAATAATAAAGCACTAATTAGATGCACAGATGCTTTGCTTTTTATCCAGCTGCCAACTGGTTGCGGTGTTCTATTCCTTGACCACCATATCTGAGGCTACTGGAAGAGGGGGCATTCCTTTCAAACCAACACAACCCCAAAAGAAGAGATATTCCTAAGGCTGTAATGAACTTCTCCAAACCGGCCTCACCCTGTAAACAAATTCATGTTTATTCAAATGATTCGAAAAGGAAGGAAACCTCGCATAATTTCTTTGAGGGGCTGACACTCAGGCGGTTCTTCGAGCTGTATCTTTCAGCACCCAGGATGTGTCAGGCTGTGTGTGAGGTGCAGCTGGGGTCCCGGGTCCCAGGTCCCGGTCCACTCTGTTCCCAGGCCATCAGACGTGCTGGGCGGGAGACCGAATGCAAAAACGGCCCCAGCTGTCCTCCCCCTGTATTCCCGCCTCTTATCTTGTGACTTGGAAGCTCCTCCTGCTAAGAAGTTGAGTTTATGTTCTTACCTGTTGAGTACAGACTGGCCTTCTGACCTGCTTTGGAATGTGTCAGAAGCATGACTGTGTCCCTTCCGAGCCTCTGGAGGACTCGTGTAGCCCGACTCTCTCTTTTGGAACCCTGCCTGCAAACAACTGGGGCCAGCCCGACGGGATGAAAGGTCCCCCACCAACCGGCAGCACCCTCAGAAGCAGAGCCCACCAGCTAACCTGCGGTGGACCTGGTCCGTGTGGAGCACGGCTAGGACCACACGAAACCCCCAGAGGAACCTGGCCGAGAGCACCGGCCCGTGAGTTGTAAGCCAAATTAACAGTTGTGGTTTCAACAACAAGGACCTCCTGTACAGCACAGGGAACTCTGCTCAATATGACGTAACCACCTAAATAGGAAAAGAATCTGAGAAAGAATAGATGTGTGTATACGTATAACTGAACCACTTTGCTGTACACCTGAAACGAACACGACGTTGTGAATCAACTGTACTCCGATATAAAATAAAAAATTAAAAATAAATAAATAAAAAGGCTGTGGGCTCAAGCCATTCCTTTTGAGGACTGGCTCCTGACCCATGCACGCAGTAAGTGCTAACTCTGCTCAGCTAAATACAAAATGCCTTGGAGCAGCTGGGGGCAGGGAAGGAGGCTGTAATGCTCCAACGTGTCTGCACTGATCAATGCATCACGCAGTTTTGATGCATAAACAGCACACCTGGAAAAAAAAAAAACCAACAGCACACCTGAACTGCCATCGGCGGGAACAGAGAGAAGCCGTGTTATCTAGGGAAGGGCTGGCTCAAGACAGCCACAGATCCTTTGAAAGACTATCTGTGGATGAGTTGGATTTGCCTGTGAAGTCATTCTTTGTTTCTCTTCTCTCTTTAAAAAAAATAAGAAGCTCTTTCACTTAATTAAGCCTGTTGGACTCGATTACGATTGTCTAGTTTGATTCAAAGCAGCCACATAGACTCTCTGACACATGTTCAGCCTCCATGACTCTGTAGGCTGGAATTTTAAATCCAGCTCCCCTGAATTTATGACGCACGCACACACAGTAGCAAGTCCCCACAGGCTGAAAATCAAACTGTAATTCAAAGGCCACAGGGCTGAGGAAACAGCCAGAAGATAAATCCCCATTTCAACCTTGGATTCTCTGCAAGTTGATTCAGGGGATTGTCAGTCATATTTAAAAATGAAATAAAACTACAAAGACACCAGACGGCATGTTCTAAAGAGAAATAGGGGATGCTTTTCAGGACGCCTTCAAAAGGCTCTTGCGACCTGAAAAGAACTGTTACGGGTTATTTTAAGGGCCCTGGAACATTTGGCTCCCATCAGACATTTGCAGAAGTTTCTGAATTAACTAATGAGCTCTAAGGAAGACATGAAACCATCACACACAACCCAGAGCACCACACCGATTGGAGATGACGCGACAAGATATCAAAGCAGCCCAGTCCTGGAGCTGGGCACTCACCTTACACCCCTCGCAGGCGCTGACCCCGTAGTGGTACCCCGATGACTTGTCCTGGCAGACGAAGCAGGGCTTGTACACCCGAGGGGGAGGAAGTGGAGACGGAGGGCTCGGGACCAGTTCCTCGGAGCTGGTGCTCTGTGTTTCAATCGCTATGGTGGAGATGGGAAGGGGGAGGAAAAAGAGAAAGCGTATTTCAGTTCATTGCTTTTTCACCAGTGAGTTCATAGGCCTCTGCCCCCAATTCAGCAATAACATAGCAAGGATAGGCCCACAAAAAGAGCTGCCAGTGTAGGCACTGCAGGGCGATCCTGACTCTAACGTGGTATTGACAGTTTACAAAGCAATCCCCTACGCCTCTCTCATTTGCAGAGCACCGTGGCACCGTGAGGGAGATGATTTTATCACCATTTCACCTCCAAGAGAAACAGAAACTCAAGGAGTGCAGTGACTTGTCCAAGACCCACTGGGCAGTGGTAAAGCCAAGACACAAAGTCAGATGTTCACTGCACACCCAGGGCTCTTTCGACTCTCGTTCCCCCTAGCTTCCAGTTCAATTAGAGTCTCTGAAATGACCCGCTTGACCCTGTCTCTCACTTAACCAAAAGGAACCTTCCTTAGGACAAAGGAAGAAAATGCCCAAAGCAGCCATTCAACAAGGACACGGAAAGGGCCGTCAGCACGCGGCCAGAGCCGAGATTCACTAACAGCAGTGGCGGCGAGACCTTTGCTACTCAGAGCCCTCCTTGGGCCAGGAGCGCCAGCACCACGTCAGAGCTTATTAGAAAATGCGCTATCAGGCCCCAGCTCAAGTCCGAGGAGTCAGATCTGCCTCTTAACCAAACCTCCAGGTGACGGAATGTACACTTAATGTTTGAAAAGCACTGCATTACATCAATGATGGCATAGCCTGACGTTGCTTTTCAGTCTAGACTTACAAATACGCGATCCCCCATCTCATTATTTAACCACCCAAAATCCATGAGGAATAGGAATTTATAGAACTTGAGACCTAGGTATTCTCCCATCCCTACCCTCCAGATTTATGCTCAATGTCAAAGCAAGACCTGGCCCTATTCCTATAACAGGCAAAACTGCTCATAAAGGATGAGGAAGTGGGGAAGGGAGGGGCTGAAAGTGGTCAAATAATGTTCCAGAATCTTCCAACCTCCAATCACTTTACAATACACAGCATATTTCCCAGAGTATAAAATTTCCAGTTGTTCCACTGTTCACCATCTCCCAGATTAGCTACTCTACCCACTGGATTGTCCGATAGCCAAATTTTCAGCAAGTCAGCTCTGCCCCTACACGTACCGTTAATCCATCCTTGTCTGAGATCTTGCTGCCAGGCCAGCCCAGTGACCCAGCAGCACCTCTCACCCCAGTTACTGCAGAAGCTTCTGCACTGGTCTCCCGGTGCCCACCCTCCCAGCCTAGGGTCCCCTCTGCACACGCACAGCCAGATAACTGCTCCAACGTTAAAATCACTCTGTCCCCCTTACCTGCCGAGAGCCCTCACACGCTCCAGCAGCCACCGATGAGAGCAAAGTCAGTCTCCTTGCTGGGCCCCGCAAGGCTCTTCAGGATATGGGCCTTCGGTAACATCATTGAATTCAGTGACTCTCATTTATTGACTTCTAAATGCTTGGTTTCTGTTCCATCTCTTGAACAGGCCAAGCTCTCCTACCAACTTACGGGTATTGCGTTGACCATTCTCCCTACCTGGAAATTCTCAGACCTTCACACGTCTAGTCCCTTTTCTCTCTTAGATCTTAGAGCAAATGTCACCTCCTCACGGGTGACTTTTCTAAATAAAAGGCCCCTTCCCACTTCTGGTCACTATATCTCATTTTATTTCGTTTTCTATAATACCTTAACTAGTGTCTAAATGTAGAAAGTCGGTTTCTGTACTGACTTTTTATATTCTACCTGTGCTACTCCTCCCCAAGTATGGGTCCTGTGAAACCAAGGAACTCAGATGAATTGTTTACAACTCTGTTCCAGGCCTAGAAGAGACACTGGCACATAGTAGGTGGAGAATCAATAAATATTTGTTGAATTAATACACGAGCTTTTCCCCTTTTCCTTATTTGTCTTCATTCCAAGCCCTAAGTGCCCTTCTAAGTGCCCTTTAAGGCCTTGTTAAATGGTAAAATTAGAAACCAAGTAGCTTTCACATACTCATTGGCTTCCTTTAAAATTAATTAATTATCCCTTTGGAATAGAATCAACTATAATTATAGTATTGTCATAATTCAGAAGAATCTTGGAATGAATTCATTAAGAGTTGGGCAGGTCTAGTAGATAAATCTAGTGCTGTCTTTACTGGGTAGCTCAGCACAATTGTGGCAAGGGCTGTACAGGAAGGTGGGCATCGAAGATGTCACGAGAGCTCATCAGATCAGCTATCAAGCTACAAAAGCAACAGCATGCCTCCCCCTAAACCAATCAGCTTCACTGAAAGTAAATGAGTCATAATGGCATCAACAAGAAAGCAGTACAAAATAATACGTCGCTCTTTGTTAAAAATCTAAGAAAACAATATGAAATAAGCTACAAGGATACAACACGGGGAATAGAGCCAATATTTTATAATAACTATAAATGGAGTATAACCTTTAAAAATTGTAAAGCACTATATTGTCGCCTGTAACTTCTATAATATTGTACATCAACTATATTGCAATAAAAAGAATCTAAGATGCCGCTACTGCTGTTGTTACTATTGTTATTACTGGGTGTCACTGATCCTGAGTCACCACAGATTATAAAATTGCATGTTATTCTATGTATCATTAAGAAAGACAAAAAAGTACTGCCAATTAAATTATGACCCATCAATGCTTGTGAGACACAGCCTGATTTCAGAGATGTTAAAAAATTAAATGCTTCTGGAGCCCTGAAAAAAAAAAAAAAAACCTAAGAAAACACACGCAGAATTACTCACAATCCTTTCATTCAGAGAAAATTACTGTTATCTTGGCATCTACCCTTCAAAACATTTTACTATGCGTATAAATGTTTTTGGTTGGTTTGTTTACTTTAAAAAGTGGAATTATACTGTAGATTCTGTTTGGGACTTTGTTTAACTTACTGTGTCATGAGTTTGTTTCCTTGTCAATAAATATTTTTCCTGCAAACGTTCCGTTATGATGAATATCTTTGTAGCTAATCTCAGCACATCTCTATTTCCTTAGGCTAAGTTCTCAGAAGTGGAATTATCAGTTCAAAAGTTATGGCTATTTAAGAATACGTTGTGAGTCCTAGAAAGGCTGTGTTAATTTACGCTCCTAATATCAGCACAAGTGAGTCCTCCCCTAAACGCCTCCCAGAACTTTCTGATTGGTTTTATTTGTGTGTCTCTACTTCCGCCCTAGGGACCGAGCTGTGTTGTCACCACAAGGAGCAATCCCACATTGTGTGCAATGTGGGGAGAGTGTATTTTCATGTTCTACTGGCTCGTGTAGAACAGCTAATCTGGCTTGTCTAGGAAGGTTGTAAATAGAATTCTGTTAGGTCTGGATTCAGCTGTCAGAGTTATGCCCTGAATTTCAAACGTGGGTGGTAATTTCCATAAATATGCAGCTTCAAATCCATGTACTGAAGGGGTCCAGCATCTCCCCCTCCCAAAGAGAGGAAACTGAACTGCAGGCAATCTAATCCCCGAGAAACTCAGGCAAAGCACATGCAAGTGGGGAGACCTCAGAATCGAAAGCCTTTTTCTATAGATGAGAGTCACTTATAACCAAGGAGTGACTCAGAAAACTTTCCCTCAACAAGTGTACGGATGAAAATGTTCTATTTGGAAGCAATCAATAGTGAGGGCTCTGGACTTTTATTAAGGCTGTGGTTATTTCACTAGTAGTGTTTTCCCATATTTGTACAATGGATGTTGGTGTGTTCAATCTTTTTTTTTTTCCCATAAACTTATTTATTTATTTAGGCTGCGTTGGGTCTTCATTGCTGCGTGCGGGCTTTCTCTAGTTGCGGCGAGCGGGGGCTACTCTTCATTGCGGTGCGCGGGCTTCTCATTGCGGTGGCTTCTCTTGTTGTGGAGCACTGGCTCTAGGTGCATGGGCTTCAGTAGTTGTGGCACGCGGGCTCAGTAGTTGTGGAGTGGGGGCTCTAGAGCGCAGGCTCAGTAGTCGTGGCGCACGGGCTTAGTTGCTCCACGGCATGTGGGATCTTCCCGGACCAGGGCTCAAACCCGTGTCCCCTGCATCGGCAGGCGGATTCTTAACCACTGCGCCCAGGGAAGCCCGGTGTGTTCAAACATTTAATTCCCTGACTATAACATACCAAGTGTGTGTTACACGCTATGGACAGTACATGGTATGATCCCTCAGCCTTGTCAAGTTTGGTCTAATAGAGAGTAAACCAACAATTAGAATATAATACACTGGTTCTCAAACTTGGCTGTGTGTTAGAACTACCTGGGGAGCTTTTTTTTTTTTTTTTTTGCAGTGCGCGAGCCTCTCACCGCCGCGGCCTTTCCCGTTGCGGAGCACAGGCTCCGGACGCGCAGGCTCAGCGGCCATGGCTCACAGGTGCAGCCGCTCCGCGGCATGTGGGATCTTCCTGGACTGGGGCATGAACCTGTGTCCCGCGCATTGGCAGGCAAACTCTCAACCACTGCGCCACCAGGGTAGCCCCCTGGGGAGCTTTTAAACATCCTAATGCTTAGATTGTATCTTAGACCTATTATGGTAGAATGCCTGGGAGTGGAAGCCAGGCATCAGTGTTTTTAAAAAAGTATTCCCAGGTGAATCCAAATTGCAGCAGTTTGGGAAACACGGATATGATATGATATGACAGAGAGGGCTATAAGCCTTATTCAGCTCAGAGAAATCAAGGGAGGCTTCCCAGAGGAGGTGACCAGGCTGTGTTTTGAAGGATGAATTGATTCCGTCTATTGTGGTTTGTAACGTGAATCCTACAAATGCCACATGTGCATCCCAGACAAACATATATAGAAAAGACTTATATATGACAAGAAATAATCATCTTTGGAAAAATTTTCCCATTGGTGGTAAAGCATTAACTATTTGACTATATATATTCAAATATCCCCTCAAAATAGATCAACGTTGGTCCTTCATTTCCTCCGTGTGGCCCGTGACGCTGAGAACAATGCAAAGCAAACAAGAAA